TTTCCTTCAGGCAGTATTTCCAATTTCTCCACTGACATAAAAAAAAATTCTTAACTGGTGAAAACAAATTAAAAACATAACTGCATTCAAATAATTTTCACGACAAGGATATCAAGTACAACACAGTAGATGACTGGCGGACCTTGCTCCTGCAACGTCATCTCTCTCGCCACAGCCCTATCTCGGTGTGCTGGTTTTGGCTGGGGTAGAGTTCATTTTCCTCATAGTAGCTGCTACGGGGCTGTGTTTGGGATTTGTGCTGAAAAGTGTTGGTAACACAAGGATGTTTTCACTACTGCTGAGCAGTGCTAACACTTTTCTGCTTCCCACCCCACCAGTGAGGAGGCTGGGAGGGCACAAGGAGTTGGGAGGGGACAGAGCCAGGAAAGCTGACCCCAACTGACCCAAGGGATATCCCACACCATATGGAATCTACTCAGCATATAAAGCTGGAGGTAGAAGAAGCAAAGAGGGGATGTTCTGAGTGATAGTGTTTGTCTTCCCAAGTCACTGTTACACATGGAGTCTGGCTTTCCTGGAGGTGGCCGCCTGCCCACTGCATGTGGTGAATGAACTCTCTGGTTTGTTTTGCTTGCATGTGTGGATTCTGCTTTACCTGCTAAGCTGTCTTTGTCTCAACCCACAAGTTTTCTCACTTTTACCCTTTTGATTCTCTCCCCCATCCCACTATGAAGAGTGAGCCAGTGGCTGTGTAGGGCTTAATTGCCAGCTGGGGTTAAACCACAACACTTGGCCATTTTAAAATCACGCAGATGCTTTTTAGAACTGGCGAGTGCACTTCAGCACAGAGCAGTTACACATTAAATGGTAACTGTTAAAGATCAACCAATGATTTCTTTTAAACTTTGCTCCAAAACCTCAGCTTTTTACAAAGATAGTGGAGGCTATATCAGTGATTCACTGGCTTATCACTCAACCAGGAAATTCCCTCATTGCCAAGTTAACAAAAGGAATGCAATTACATATTAAGTATTAATTGAAGTCCAACTTCAGAGAATGCTATAAATTGCTTGGGAATCAGGTAAGGTTTTCTTACAGGTTGACAGAAAACCTAGCAGAAAGGGAACTTCACTGAGTTTTTTTATGATCTCTCAAAGGTTTTCTGTTTGTTTGTTTCTTTCTTTCTTTCACAGGAAAAAAAATCACCTTTCTAATCTATGTATCAGACAGGAAGAGTTGGGCATTGTGAATGTTAAATGCGAGATTTGTGGCTAAGTGCTCTTTAAGCCCACCCCTTTATCCTTTACACCAAACCTAAGACGCCAAAGTTCAGATATTTTTTTCTGATGGGAATTTGGTTTGATGAATATTATACAAATGCCATATTGAGTATAAATATTCAGCGTTCTGGAAATTCAGGCCCTCACTGAGCTAAATGTTAACACCAGCATTTCTTGTAAGATGAAGCCTTCAACTCTACACAGTACTGCAATAGTTTTATATTGACATAGCAGTCATTAAGCCAAACTCTGCCTGCCAGCACAGAAATTTGATACAACCTGCCTGAAGTGCCTCTCACTCATTCACACAGTACACACACTGCATTCATTGTATAGATCACAGTATAGATAGATCCCACAGTCACATCTAGACTCTGTGAGCAAGGAGACGTTCAGTTCTCAGTTTTAGTTCAAATGCCCATCCCTCCTCCAGCAGGAGTGCAATGCCATGAACTGAAGGACTGCTGGAATGCAACTCCTGCAGATGTATCAAGGCAATGACAGAGCTTGATATAAGGTGCTGGGAGATTGAACATTGAATCCAGCTCGGGTTCAGCCACAGCTTACGCTTCTGCCGTTTATGAATTACAAATCAAGTCTGGGTGCTCAAGGCAACGCAGGTACCCCCAGTCAAGGTGACCTACTTGGAGCAGAGTAACCCAAACTAGATACTACAGCGAAAATAAATCTGTAGACACTGTAGAAAGCTAGCAATTGCAAATAAAATTAGACAGCTGAACAGTGTATTGAAGGGGTATAAATATAAAGGACAAGGTTCAAAACCCCAGTGGCAAAATCCTGAAGTCCTAACCATCTGACATTATTACACTAGATCCTAAGAAGTACAGATCTTAAGAACCTCTCCTCCCCTCTAGAAACACCCTCCATTGATGTGATTCAGCTGTGCAGCCTTCTGAGTTCCAGCCAAGGCCCGGAGCCTGTGCAAGCAGTAGGCATTTGGTGTGAACTGAAGCAACTCGTGAAGAATGAGCCCAAGTCGCAAGCAATTCAAGAATAATATGGAAGGAATCACTGTATCTAGCAAGCCTGTCCCAAAGATAAGGATGTGTTGTCCTCACTTAACACTGCCAAATCCAGAACTGCTTTAGGCACATGTGACTTGAATCTCAAAGGTAGTTGGTTCAGATGATCCCTGCCTTTTTCCTGTTATTGCAAACACCAGTGTAACTTGCACAAGGAATTAAGCCATGTAGGCAGCCTGTAGGATTGTTAGACAGAGTCACTCCTAAAAATGCACTCTAAAGAATGCAAATTTCTACTTACTACAACCAGCCTTTCCCAAAATCAGTATTTTTGCCACACATATTACTTCTACAAACAAGAACATCACACATCCCCAAACCAGTGGATCCTTATCCCACATGCAATTTTAAAGCATGAGTTCTCACAATGCCTAACAACGTACAAGGGAATAATAAGCTTCAGTTTCTAAAGGAAGAGGTTATTATAAATCACTTTCTCCACAACTGTCACCTCCCTCACACTCACCTGCAGCCTCAGTGTACACCCAGGATTCAGGTGAGTCAAGTGCAGTGCCTACAGAGAAAGGCAACCCCCCAGTCCACCACTTAATGTTCATTCTAAGACCCATTTTGTCATTCTGCACGTTTGTTGAAAAGTAAACGTTGTCTTAGATCTCAACTCTTCTGTGTAGAGGCCACCTGACAAATAAACTTCCCACTGTGGTTCTCACTCAGTTTTAGAAACGTTTGTTGTGTATGTTCTTTATGTCCCAAATAACACAGCCCTCCACTGCTGAAAGCTGTGTCAGTCTACTCCACCCAATTGTTCCTTTAAAAGCTTTTCTCTGGAACCTGTCTTCCTCACTGTGGTTTAAAACACAGTTTATGAGATTCAATAAAATGAAACAACTTGCCGTACCTTCTGACATTTATCTTTTACCTTCCAGTTTATTCCATAACATGCATTATTACATTCATTATCTTTGCATCCTCTGGGTTTCTGACTTAATCCACAAGCGCTGTACTGCTAGAGCGTTTCTCATTTCAAAAACCTGGTATGAAATCGTGATACCACGCAAATACTTTGTAAAGTGTACATTTCTGATAACTTTACACGCAGCTCTGCATCACTGAGCATCTTCTCAGCAGAGCCCCAGCAGCGCCCTGAGCGCCAAGCTCGGCAGCACCCACACAGCTCTGACGAGCTCCGCGCCCCCTCCCAACTTCACACACAGCCGCCTCCCCGCAGAGACTTCACCCGCACCCTCCCCTCCCTCTACCCCGAACCGCTCCATACCCACACATTTCTCTCAGCGTCTCTCCGATCCCACCCTTCGCCTCCCCAGCCTGCTCCCACAGACTCTCTTCCCGCCCCATGCACCGACCCCAAACGCCTCCTCCTCGCGCAGCACAGGCCTCCCTCGGCTCGCTCCCCCCGGCACGGCCCCGCTCTCCGCGGGGCGGCCCCGGCCGGGCTCTGCTCCCACCTGCGCCCGCCGGGCCCCGCTCGCCCCTCGCCGCCGGCCCGGCCCGGCTCCCTCAGCTCCGGGGCTTCCGGGCGCCGCGGTCCCGTCCCGCAAAGGCTCCGGCTGCAGCCGAGCCCCGCCCGCTCCGTTCCCAGGGCCGCGGCGGCAGCGCGCCCCGCCCGGGCCGAGCCAGGCGGGAGCGGCGGGGCCGGGCCGGGCCCCGGGCAGGGCATCGCTGGGCCCTGCGGGGCGGAGGGGCTGAGCCCCGGGCTGGAGCCTTTGCCACCTCCCAGCGAGCGCCCCGCGGGCCGGATCCCGCCGGCGGCATAAAGGGGCACTTGTGACACGGCTTTGTAAGAGGGGCAAGGCTGGCTGGGATGCAGGTGCAGACCTGCCATGGAGAACAGCACTGCGCTGGGCAAAGAAGCGAATTGGCCACCAAATTTTGAAGATCATATTTAGGCAAAACTTTATGCTTAAATTAGGAGTTGATTTCCCTATGGTTGGCAAAGGACAGTATAGCACATCAAAACTGGGTGAAATCCAGGCCCCGCAGAACTGGAACGGAAACCTGTCCCACCAATTACAATAGTAAACCATGGGAGACAAGCACACTACTAATAAAGGTAATTTTAATAGTAGATATGTGTTTTATAAGACATTCATTAGAAGTATGCTTTAGGAGAATGCACTTTGTTAACACCAAACAGAAGGCTCTGGCAGCTCCAAAAGAGTTTGCTTCGAAGTGTGGAACTGCTCCTGAGCTCAAAAATGGACCATGGTCTTTCAGTGACCACATTGACTGTACCTGCTTGCAGATGTCAGCATCATTCTTGAAATTAAACTGTCAGATACTTCAGGTATCACAGGTTAGACTAAATACTTGAAAAAAGGAGCCAAGATCTTGCCAGTTTTGTGAATTTAATTAATTTTCCATTCCTTCCCAAGGGAAAAGGCCTTGGTTTTCAGCAGCTTTAGGCTATGAGCCTAATCTGGGTTATGTTTGCCTCATATGCCTCTCTACAGAACTCTAGACATTTGCCATTGGTTTGAACAGAGTTCACCATTTCTTTGCTCTGAGCTGTTACGCTTTTTTAATGAATAAACTTTAGTTAACTCCCCAAAATTTCAGTCCCATGGAGTATTTTTTTTTGCTTTGCAGTTCTCCCTATTGAACTCACATCTGATTACAATCGACTAAAACCAATACTCTGATACTATTTTAGCATCTTTCGTTCTGTCCCACGGAGAACTGCTTATCAGATGTTTATGCTGGCCTTATTTTATGTGATGATAACCAGGCACAGTGCTCAGTTTGCATCTATAACAATTTATTTGACCTCGTCCACTTTGGTTAATAACCAAATACTTTCTAAGTGTTCATTTGTCACACCAATCATTTCAGGCAGGTGTTCATCGCATTCCCTATCAGAAATAAAAATAAATCATACAGGTAGGGTACAATATGCTCTCTTAAAATGATGCCTAAAACACTGACAAAACTAGTGATATCTACTAATGACTAAAACCAGAGGTAAACTAATGAGAGGCATGACATATCAGCTAGACATGCAACATAACAGCCAAGTAGCATCTGACAATTTGACTTAAGGGTATTTTTTTTCTTACATTAAGTAATTAATCTAATAATATGGAATATAATCCATGTTTAGGTTGTCAAACAGCTCTTCGGAGGTTCATATAGACCATTTTGATGTAGCAGCAGAGAGAGCAAAGGCACTCAAAACACTGAATAACATCAGGAGTTGGGGAGTGGAGTGTTTCCCAGCAGAGCTCTATAAAAAAAGAGAGAAATTTGATAAACCCATTTAAAAATAGTTCTATTTATCACTATTATAAAAGCATAGAAAGTTTCAGAGAAATCTTTTCCTATTGGCCCCTTCTATTATGTAGGCAGTTCTGATGTTAAAAAGATCACGTGTCACATCCATCGTGCCCGTAAATCAACACGTGTTCAGTTTTCAAGTGATAGGCAGGGACAAGCGTGGAAAACACGTCTGTGGTCACACTTCTCTTATTTTTTGTCGATACTATTCCCATTTATTATGTTGCACATGTTTTCTCAAATGGTTATTCAGATACAGGAAATTTGATAGATACCTCACAATATAAACAACAGTTTCAGTTTTCTGTGATAGGTATAGGAAGAAACCAGTAGAACCTACAAAGAAGAAAAGTGCTTACCACTTGACTGCCTCCAGAGGAAGGTGACTGTTGAAAACAAACAAACAAATAAATCTACAAGTGTTCCCACACAATGGTTTTGAAAACAGTTTTTGTCTGCAAAAGTTTTGAATACCTTAGCACACAGCATGGGTTTAATTTGTTCAAGAGGAAAATTGCTTTGCATTGATAAAGCAAATAGTTTTAGTTATGTACTATGTCTCATGGTACATCTGAAAATTTCAGCTAAAACTAAAGAAAAGACAAAAGTCTATTTTTCTCTCATTCCATTATCATATTTGATACAGAGTTTTCCATCTCTATAATTGAAAGAGGACGTTAAAAAACTGATGAATACTGAAAACAAAACAAAAAAAAAGAAGTGTGAAACCAGGTAACCTGCCAGCGAAAAACTCAAGAATCTAGCTTACTAAAAAAAAAAAAAAAGTGAAGGGTTAACTGAGCACAGCCTATAAAATCTACACAGAGAACAAGAATTTAAAAAACAGAGGACAGAAAAATGTAACAAGGTCCCTAACTGAAATCTGAAACAAGACAGATTTAGACTTAAAATATAACTGACACTGAAATTGCTTTCCCAGGCTGAGGCCATATTTTCCACAGTGGTTTCTTTAAATATGCTCTAATATAAATGGAACTAATACAGAATGTTCTCTTAAGACCAAATCATCCCAAAATTGCTCTACTACCACCCAGGTTTCTTTGTTTACTAAGAAAAGAAGATGAAAAAGCTGCAATGAAAGTATTCTTACCTGTTTTCCAGAATAAGTGCTTCCTGAGCCAGAGCCACCCTGTAAAATAATTATAAACCATTTAATTTTGTAGTATGAGACTCCAAGCGAACAGTGTCCAAAGAGCACACAGCAGTCTTGAAAATGCTCTGGATAGTATTAGATTTGATATTCACTTTGATTTTACCATTTTTGTTGCACTTTCCTCCCCTATTTTAATTGAATGGTCTCGAGTAAGCACAGCTATGTCCTCTTTATTCCACGAACAGTTTCAGAGGAATGTGTCAAAGCAATGTGCCATTGACTGAACTGCAGAGTTTGAAACTGAAACAGTTACCCTGATATTTAAATACATCATTCTTATCAGAACGATCCAAACATACTCCTATGAATAAGTGACAGAGTATATGAAAACTTTGCTATGGGAGGAATAAATGCTGCCTCATCCTAAGGTTCAAGTTTGAACAAAATATTCCAGGTTTTTTTCTAATTTTTTTTCAGACATTTACCATTGTAACATAATTTTAAATTTCACCCTCATTACTGTTATCTATTTTAAAAACAAATATCCACATTTCTAACTTGGTTGCATAATACTGAAAGAAGAATATCCTTACTGGCTTTCCTTGATGACTGCTTCCTGAGGAAGATGAACCCTGAAAAAAAGATACCTGTTTTTGACTCTAAGTCTATTTGCACTTATATGTTCTCACTGTCTGGAATAAAGAACCACAGGAGAATGAACACTGTCTTGTGTCCAGTCCTCTAAAAATCCCAGGGAAAACCTTATCTGAAATACAAATATTTAACATCTTTTTGTTACAAGTATTCTTTCAAATGATGTATTGGAAATTTTGATACAACGTTCTCAAGAAGAAAGAACTGTTTTGTAGTTGTGATGTGTTTAATATATGGAATGGAAAAAATAATAAGGTCTAATGAAACATTAATTCACCTGGTATCAATATGTTTACATTTGGGGGAAAAAAGGACAGCACCACCACCAAAAAATGCAAATGTTAAGAGTCCTTCACTCTACAGCTGCTATTTGAAGAAAGCTCTAATAAGAAAGGTAATTAAAAAAAATGGATATAGAAAAATAAAACATCCAGCTTTCTGGGAAAGTGGCTCTGCTCATTTGAATTCCATTGCCAATAGCAAATGTTACAAGCAGTGACTCCTTAATGGACATCAAATACAGGACACAAAGTGTCTCACCTTTATGATTAATGTATTAGAAAAGGCAACATTTATGCCCACTTTTTAATAACAGGTACACCTTCTTTTCTATACGAGATAAGCTAAAACATTGTGTGTGCTTATTGGTATCTCCTGCCATTGAAGGACAAGAGCAAGGTCCAAATTACATAGTAAAAATAGTAGTCTGAAATGGGAGAAGTTGAAAATATGCACAGTTAAATGGCAACTATTACGTCCTTCAAAAAGAAAAAGTATTTTCTTCAAAGCAAACCAGAAATACTTAAGACAAATGCATTTAAAATCGATGAAAAACTGAGCCCTGAGGACAAAGCATATGATTATTATGAATTTAAACAGAAATAACTATTCAGAAGTTCGTTAAACAAACAAAGAAATTAAAAATAAAATCCTCTGATCTCATTCTGTGATTATCAGAAGTTCAGTCACATAGTAAAGTGCTGTCTCTAAACAATGGAACTGTGTGAAAATAAATATTGTGTTTGCATTTGTTGAGATTATTCCAGATGACTAAATCATGTGAAACTCTTTGCATATTGAAGTAATTCTCAGAAAGTTGTCTGGTTCATAACTAACTAGATACAGTTTTTTTAACACGTATATAAGAAAAAAGGAAGGTAAATTTGAATGTTTTGACTTACTGGTTTACCATGTGGTCTGCCTCCAGAAGAATATGAGCCCTGTAAGAAGTCAATGCAACATCTATTAATTGAAGGAAAAATCTTCTGTCACTGTCTTGAGACAATTTGTGCAGTACTTATAACAAACTTATGTGGATGTTGTTTGAACAAAAACAGTAAATGGGGTACCTAAAACTTCGTCTCCTTACTGCACACCAAACCAGTGGCAATTTGAACCAAGAGAGCAGTGTTATGAAATACAGTTTGGTGGTTATAGTACATTCAAAGGAATGTTTTACACAGAGCAGTAATTCATTGGAACCAAATCTTTTATTCACCTTGCTGAAATGACCAATTGGTATTACCTCAACTATTTAGGCTTTATAAAATGGCCAAATTAATGTATCTTTCAGCATCAAGATAATCAAGTAATCAAGATAACACTCACCGGCCCACCATACTGGCTGCTTCCTGAGGGATAAGATCCCTATTAAAAAGAATATGAGAATTTAACAGCAGTTACTTTTTTTTTTCTATGCACAATGAAACGTCACAGAATGACTTTTAACAGGAGATCTCTGTAACAATCTGGAAAGTATATTAATCTAAAAAGATGCAGTGAAAGACTTTGACTTAATGCCTCTAAGTTCCTTAACAGCTGAAAGTACTAAATTGGGCAAACAGTCACAAACCACCTGCTAAGACTGTTCTGTTACATAAATAAATGGATCTAAAGTGTCTTACATATGGCTTTCAAGAGAAAAAAAAAATCTACTTTATGTGTGATTTTCTGCTACATCAGATGTGTTCAGAGAGCATCATGTGTATTATTGTAAAAATATACTTATGATTCCAAATAGGTAATTTGGGAACAAGATTGATTTGCAGCTGTTAAAAATCCTCTCCATGCTACAAGAGACTATCTTCTTTGTAGAGTGATACTGAACTCAACTGCTTGGCAATGGAGTGAAAAGAAATTATTTTTTTAAGTGTAGCAGAGTGAAACATTGCAAACACAATAATACTAATGAAAAATATGCTCCATCTTATTAGACAGCCACCCATTACATCTGTCAACTACTTGCAGTATTAGGATTTCAGAGTCAGTTACAAACTACTAAGTTTAGAGAAGGTACTCATGGAACTGATTACAGTAAGAGACTTGAACTGCAGCTGAAGATGAGGAAAGTAGTATTATTGGGTGCAACACACCAGAATTTATATTTTCAAAGCAATATCTATTGGTATATTTTGTGCCAAATTTTTTTCAAATATTCAATCTAAACAAGTTTAAAAAATAGATACCTTCAATATAACTGAAAAATAACATAGAAAATATATTTTGAACCGGCATCATAGCAATGTGAAACTGAAACATAAAAATGGTTAATTAAAATTATCACTTGAGATAAGAGGCATTTTGAGGTAAAACAACTAGAATTATGATCTGTGGAATTTCTTTAAACTGAAGTTTGTTCATGCTACTCCATTTCAGTTACTGAGAGATGGTCCCTGTTTTCAAATATTTATTAAGAGTGTCTCTGAAAAACCAACAGTATATGCACTGCATCATATTTTTCTTTTAATAAGTAGCAAGTAGAAAGAAGATCTTGAAAACAAAGAAAAAGTGCTTGCCTGTCCACCATACTGATTGCTTCCAGAATATGATGAACCCTGTAAAAAGAACGGGAAATTTTCATAAATAGTTTTCTAAATAGAATGTGTCATAAAAAAGTCCTGGACCTAATATAAACAATACTCCTGACATTGATTAACTTGAAGAACTTTACACAGTTATTAATGCAGTGGCAAATGACTAGTTATCCACACATCATGTTAGTGGTTTAGGCAGTGAGATGAACCCTGTGAATGATTCTTCAGTAATTTTTCGATGTAAGAAAGCTCCTATAACTACAAAGTAAGATCTTGGCTCTAGTTCATAGAAGATATAACTGAAATGTCACGAGTGACTTAATAAGAGCCCCATACACTCTCTGGAATTATTGTCCTTATCTCTGTGACTAAACTGAACTCAATATTTGATGGGTTCTGGGCAAATATGGCAACTGAGCCATGTTTATTCCTGAGGAATAGTTCCTGAGGAACTAATCTGTGTAAATGCTAAAGAGAAACTGCCTACCTGTCCACCAGCATAGTTGGCTCCTCCGAAAGAGCCCTGTGTTCAACAGAAATAGAAGTGTTTACTCTGTATTAAATTCAATGTCACATAGAGGAGAAACAAGACAATGTATTGACCAATTGCAATGATCAAGTCATTTACACTGATTACTACTATTCTTTTGATTAAACAAGTAAAGGATTTAGTTTTGATTCATTGTGATTTATATGTCAAATAATTTATGTTTATATAATATATATAAGTGATAATATATTATAAAATAATATAATTTCTATTTATATAAATTCTAATTTTTAGGTTATTTTTGACACTTTTGATTCCCAGAATTTGCATGGGTGTCATGAGTTGTATACTTGGGCATGTGGTTTTGCTTGATTATGTAATCAGGGAAACAGAAGTAGTCATCTAAGCAATTTTGGCTATACTGAGCAAACAGGTCACTGAACCATCGCTTGGAAGTAAATTAGCTTGATCTCAGCAAACCAGTGGAGTGGGGTTTCTCAGATGTTGGGGGGGGGCATTTGTTTGTTTCTTTTTAAAGTATTTACAAAAGTATAAGGAATATACTAATTAGACAGAAAAAATGGAAATATATAACTTTTTAAATGTGTTGCTCTGCTCCAATCTGAGGACATGATTTTAGATCTAAGTTTCACTAGTTGAATCATACTGTTAATAACCATCATAAGAGCAGCACTATTACACACACATGTCCAAAACCCAATGAAATATTTGGGAAAAAGATTCTTAGAAAAGTCCCAGACCTCTCTCACGAACTGAGTAGCTAGTTTTGAATACACTACTGCAGTTGCAAGTCACTTAATATTTTTTTCTTTAGCAGGTTCAAAATTGTTCATTTTAGCATAATGTGAAGAAAACTTCCATCATACATAGAATTTCACAGACAGAATTATTTCAAGAAATGTAGTTCCTTGGGAATTTTCCAGTATGTGTACATACTATGCAAAATATATAAAGACAAAGAATACTTACTGGACCTCCACCGGGGCACACACACCCACCCTGTACAAAACACAACCAAACTTACTTTCCTGGGTCTATGTTTGGAATAGGACTCTGAATTCGTAAATCAAACTCACATTCTGCTAACTGTAAGCAAATGGACTATAAAATCCTGCTCATAGACTCCCCAAGCTCCATCTAAAAAGTAGTTTCTTTCTGCCTCCACTGCCCTTTTCAGGCTAGCTGTGCACTTACTCATCAATTTTTTAAATAGAATTTTCTAATTTCTCATTTAAAATTTACACTAAAAACTCTCTAAAATGATGAGTAGCAAATTCTGAATAGTAATACAGACTTTATTTTTTTTCCCCTGAGGAGACCAGAGCACCTAGAATTTTCCCAGGGAAGTGGTCACAGCATGAAGCCTGCCAGAGTTCAAGAAGTGTTTGGACAATGCCCTCAGGCACATGATGTGACTCTTGGGGTGTCCAGTGGAGGGCCAGGAGTTGGACTCAGTGGTCCTGATGGGTCCTTTCCAACTCAGCATATCCTATGATTCTGTGAATACATACAGTACTCTTTCATGCTACAGATGTTACAGGAAACTCTAAAGATGACTTCCAGTTGAGGCTTATTAGGTAATTTCTACTCTGATAAAACTAAGAGGTGGTTAGGGGTTTACTATTCAGTGTTTCACTTTCCACATTCAATCTGGATGAAATGTGTAAAGGGAAGCAGTTCTCATGAAGGAAAGCTACACAAAGCAGTTTGTGAGTGCCTGACACTGGCAGAACCGAACAGTGTTGAGAAAGAAGGACATACCTGTCCACCAGACTGTCTGACTCCTGAAGAAAAGCCCTGGAAAAAATGAGTAACTAATTATTTCTGTGTTACTGAGTAACATTCTCACTTGTTCTCTGTGGTCCTCAGTCTTTCAAATTGCTTCTGTTTAAACGTAACAACAAAAAATAGACTTCTCGAACCATGATCTGTTAAAGAAGCATTTCCATGCAGTCACACAGGCCCCTGTATCATTTTCTCATACCGTGATCTGACATACTGGTCACACCTATACTTAGTAATTCTCACTCAGCCTGGCTTAAAGCCATTCTTTCTTAGAATGTTCCTTTTTTGCAAAAAATACAGGTCCATTTTCCTAATGTTTTTCTGTGTACCCAAACTGCAGGTACCATGACAGTTAGAAGTTTTACCTGTCCACTGTACTGGCTGCTTCCTGAAGAAGCCACACCCTAAAGAAATGAGAAAGCATTTATATATGTTGCACATTATTTAACTTAAGACCTGTCACAGAAAAACATATTTTTATTTGTTTTCTATGAACTTAAGTGTCATAGGAATGCAAACACTTATTTATGGCCATACTAAAAACCACTGGCCTTTACAGTAGCTGCTATTTAGACAGAACAATGAAGTTTGAATCAGTCGGCTTTAGGCAGGTGAGGGTACTGCTGCTGCCCTGGATTGTGTGCTCACAGCAGCCTCCTATGTTTTACTTATGAGAGTTGGCTGACACAACAGAAAGTCATATATTCATCTGTTCTGCCTAAACACTGTTTTGCTGTAAGATACTCCTTTACAAAGTATTCAATTTTTCACAAAAAAATGGAAAGATGAACAATGGAAAAAACAATCCATAAATAGAAAAACAATTCTCACCTGTCCTCCATAATGGCTGCCACCTGGGAAATATGGACCCTGAAGCAAAGGTGCCAATTATTTCTCAAATCAAAAAGCTTCTTTAAGAGCTTTTTTTAAGAAAGACTGTTTCCTTTCTCTGTTGCACAATGAAAAATTACAGGAAGACAGACATTCAACCTATTGCTTTAAGTGTTCTGTGCAAATTAGGGAGTGTCCTTAACATATGAATCTTCCATAATATTGATCATGAGCTGTTACAATACATGTGTAGCTTTTTGAGACTATACTTGGACTGAAAAATCTCTTTCTCCTCTAATCCCCCATCCAATAAATCCGACAGTCAATGTTTTCTGAGTCCAAGGATGAGTTTGTTGGGGATGTCACTCCATATTAGAGGCTATAACTCTAGGCATCACTAGGAACCCTATCCATCATCTTTCATTTCACAAGGGCATGGAACACCTCTCTTAGCAACTCCTGATCTTCTGCCCTGTTCCTCTTCTGAGACATTCTGTTTCTCTGACATCATCTTTGATATTGCATTTTGCCAAATGAAGTGAGGTAGAAGAGGAATGAAATCTCCCCTCAGCCACTCCTTACTGTTAGAGCTAAGAAACCTTGACAGTAGCAGGGCAGGCTGGAGAGTAGAACAAGGCCAGAACTGCATTAACTGTGATACAACAGAAGCACCAGATCTACATAGGTTTTGTGCTGTTTCAGATAGATACCTGATCATAAACTATCAGATCAACAGAGTTGACTCAAAAAGTTTTTTCAGTTAGTATAGAAGTATCAAGTTTTGATGTGGGAACTGTGTGTTAGAATAAGAACTACATAGGAGGAGATTCTCACCTGTCCTCCATACTGGCTGCCTCCTGAAGAAGGTGAACCCTGAACAAAAAAGAATTTAATGATCTCTGTCTGTCATTTTAGCCCTTTGAACCATGTTCCACATGAGGGAGAAGTATCCAGTTTCTTTCACTGCAGAACTATGAGTGGATTGAACCACAAATGGGTAAGAATCATCTGCTTTTACCATGATGCATCAGAAATTCCATCTTAAAAACTCTTTTATGGCTTTGTATCACATGTATTTATAACTACTATATACTTAGCAACAAATTAGATAAAACATGGGGGGAAAATCACCAAAATAAAACAAAATCTCCTTAAAATGTTCTTTTACACAGAGACGTTTATCGAATGTCTCTGATGAAGTAGTAAACAACACAAGGGAAGAATTCTCACCTGTCCACCATATTGGCTGCCTCCTGAGGAAGGCGAACCCTGAAAATAAAAAAGGAAACTGAAACTTTTTAACATCTATTTCATAGACTCATAGAATCATTTCATGAGGCTTTAAAAAATTTTGGTTAATTTCATGAAGTACTTATTTCAGAAATACATGACCTTTTGTCCTGGAAATTTCAGGAGTTGAGTCAACCATGTATTTCACATTCTATTTTTTCTTAGTCTTAAATAATGATCTTCATCTGAACTTGTTTTGTTTAATCACAGTGGCACCAGAGCATTATGGAGAAAGATTTACTGAGAAGATTTTAGACTAAATTAAAGCTAAAATAGACAGCTAGGTAGACAATGAATAAACTGCAGCTTTGCATAGGTCAAAACTACAAGAGCAGGGACTACTGAATGCTTACTTGTCCACCATATTGGCTGCCTCCATAAGAAGATGGCCCCTAGAAAAATATTGAAAATTAGTTATTTCTGAATACCTAATTCATGGAGATGAGCAACAAATAAATCTATATTTTGTTATTTGACTGTTTGTGTGCAATTATCCCAGAATAAACTGCATTTTTGTCTTCCTAGAATTCACATTATTATGACAGAATACAGACCACTGTCAATTTTCTTGAAATAATAAATTGAGATCTTCTATTAATATGAGTCAAATACTTATAAAACAAATATATAATATAAAATATTAAAAGTAAGAGCTTACATGTCCTCCATACTGGCTAGCTCCTGAGGAATATGAATCCTGTAAAGAATACCAAATGAGTGAATTACCTGCAGTAGGATTTCCTTAAATCAAAACATGACTCTCCCAGGACAACAGGAGCAAGAGAGCAGAGTAAGAGTGAAGACAGGTGAGCAGGCCTTTCATTATGCTTTAATGTTCAAGCCGTACAAGGTAAGTTGGAGAAATACCTGAGCTCCTAAGCAAGGGTGGAAGGCAAAGATGTACTGCTTTGTTTGTGTGACTTGTTGGGAAGGTTAAAGTGGCCTTGTTTCCAGTTCTTTCTCTGCTCATTTCTAGAGAATGGAATTTCTTTATTTGGAAAGCTGAGTCCTGGGTCAAACCTAGCAGTAAAATATTGGCTACCCAACAGGCGTTTGAAAACCAAACTTAGCAAATTTACTGAAACCTCATACAACAAGAGGTTTCTTTAAAGAGAGGAAATTGGATTTGCTTTTCTTCATAATGGGATTAGGTCCATTAGTAATAAAAAATGCTACATTTTGATTAATTTTTTCTCCACACTTTTGGTTTTTTTTGTGAGCTTCATTATGCAAATTTCACGAAAACAAGGGCACTATTTGCTAAAAAACTCCTTGTGTATAATTTTTAGGACATATCAATTTACTGAGCTTTTGCCCTTTATACACAGTTCCCATATAGAAACTGAATTTAATTGAGTGAATGAATAACCATCATTTGAAAAATTGGCTCTCCTTTTGGAATGAGTGCTTACTTGGCTGCTGTACTGGCTGCCTCCAGAAGAAGATGAATCCTGGGGAAAAAAAAAGAACAAAGCAATCAGTTGTTTTTCTCTAAAAGAACTATTTCAAAACAAAACTTCTTGAAGAATAGAAGTATATAAATTTATATTTTAAACCTTTTTCTTGAGTTTAAAGCCCATTCAAAATGTAAAATCTAGCCCTCCCTACTCTGTTAATATGTCTAAAATTTAGTGTGTAATTGTATACCAGAATAGCTGCCTCCAGAGCCCTTTCAGAAAGGAAATACTGGTTATTTCACTTCAAAGGATATGAATGAAGGATGGGCAGCTTGTTTGTTTCAGTTTAAAATCACTATACTGAAGAACTACATCCTTACAAAAAGTTTTAATATTAATTCTTCTAGAGTACTACAGACCTTTAGAGTACTCTGAGATTCCACAAGATCTGCTAAGCTCATAAGCTGTTTTGTGTTTAGCGCATAATGTGAAATATGTATCAGAAATGTGTCCTTCATAATGAATCTTAACTGTGTAAAATGACTTTTCAATTGCCCTGTAAAGAAGATATTAAAGATGATGGTCTGAGGTAAACTGCAACATGTACTTGGGGGAGAACTAAGACCTACACTCAGTATGCAAAAGCTGCTCTCCCGTGCTGAGGTACTGGGTGTATCTATGCATTAAAGTACAGATCCGGAGTGTCCCTTTGAAACAGAAGTCCTGATAGTTCCCACTCACTGTAGTTTGTTTTTCATGAGGTGGTCTCAGAGTGAATTAACTGGATGCCATTCAGATTAAACTAAATTTTAAAATGCTCTCTAGGGGTACACTTAATGCATTCAAGTAGTAAATGGACTTCTGGCCCGTGGGACCAGAGCAGAGCAGACCATTCCTGAAATGTATGCAGTATGGCCATCAGTTCATCAACACTGTTGCAGTTTGCAGCGCTCGTTGATGCAGACACTCCACTATGTTCCCTCCTTTATATACAATCCTCAGTTCCAAACTGCTGTCCAAAGACAGCCAAGTCAGTAAAAAAACCAAAAAGAATCAGTCCCAATTGGAAGTTTCAAAGGAAACAAATACAGTAACAAAACAACAGTAATATGAAGGATGTAGAATACAGGTAGTTAAGAATATTTTCCTGAGTGTACATACATACACTTTCCTCCTTCCTACAAGGGAGAACAAGACCAGTCCTATTTATCATGTAATATTAATTTTTGTATGGTACATTTCTGTAGCAGTGTCCAAGCCAGCTTTGTATCAGTCAGCAGTCTGGTACAATGTGGTACAAAGCCACAGAGTTCTGTGCTAGATGCAAAAAGACCCAAATGTTTTTCTTCCCTTTGGTGCAGCACATACAGAGCTCCCATGACATACATTATGACTTTCCAACACACAGTGAACAGAACAGGAGTGCTGTCAACAGATCTCTCCTGCAAAAATGTTCTTATCCCTATGAGAGGGCAAGCAACATTAGATGACTGATCTATGAATACTAACCTTTTTTCACAGTAAATGATCTACAAGGAATATAATCATGTAAATCCATATCCTTGGGATATTTTTACAGAATTTCAAAGGAGCCAATGGAACAGACTCCTGAAGTAAATATTTATACTGTTATGTACCTGCATTTTTGACAAACATTTTTCATTGGAAGACTTCTCTTTACATGAAAACTATTTCAAATGGAAAGTGAAGCTGAATGTTGCATGAATGTCCTGTGTGTATTTTTGATTGAAACTAAGGTATGTTATTTTCACAAATGTATGACTTCTATTAGGCACTGACTCTTTTAACCTCTCCAGCCAAAGGAGACAAAGCAAACAGGGCACACTTAAAAGCTGAAGAAGATTGCTTACATTTGCAGAGGCATCACTTCTGACTAAGGTAGGGGATCCACCCTGTAAGGGGAAAAAAAAAAAAAAGAAAAGAAAAATTAGCCTTTGTCTTTGATCATAAACTGGAAATGAAACAAAACCTTAAAATGCCTGTTCTACATCATTTCAAAGGAAAAAATCACAGTCTGAAATTAATTGCACTTACATCTCACTTCGATTTATCAATTTACCAAGATAACAAACAGTCTTTTTTTGGCCTGGAAGACCATAAATCAAAAAATACCATATTGTATCTATCTATCATATTGTTTACCCTGGAGAAAAGCAGGGTCAGGGGGACCTTATTGCTCTCTACAACTACCTGAAAGGAGGTTATAGTGAGGTGGAGGGTTGTGCCTTCTTTGGAGTAACAAGCAATAGAACAAGAGGAAATGGCCTCAAGTTGGTCTAGGGGAGGTTTAGATTGGATATTAGGAAACAAATTCTTCACTGAAAGGATTATATACAGGCTGCTCAGGGAAGGGGTTGAGTCACCACACCTGGATATATTTAAAATATGCGTACATGTGGCACTTAGGGACGTGGTTTAGTGGTGGCCTTGGCAGTACTGAGTTAATGGTTGGACTCGAGGCATTTTCCAACCTAAATGATTTGATGATTCCATAATGCTGAATTCTTCATCTTGGCATAATGAGAAATAACCCCTACCATATCCAAAACATCTAAGTCATCAAAGGAACAATGAATATAAAATTAAGAGTACATTCAAGTAAGTAAGTTAAAAATAAATAGGATCACAGATAATTTTCCAGTTAAATAGTTTAGTAAAAGAAAATGTATAGTGAAAATGTAGCACTTACAGAACTTCCCCCAGAACAATCACATGCACCCTGTAAAGAATACAGAAAGTATTTAAGATATCAAGAGCACAGGACTGAAATGGATTCCAGATACAACTCAAATTACTTCTACTATCCCAGGCGTGCAAACCATAAAGATACATTCTTAACTGCCCGACTTCTAGAAATGAATTTATTTCATCCTATGCAACTATTTCTGCACTTACTGCTCTGATGGAGCAACAAAATGCTAATTTTGTTATCTTCAAATTTTCTTATATACAGTCTTTACCTTAAAAATCTTATTCACCAGAAGGAAGAATAAAAAATTCCAAGTAGTACTACAGAAAGCAATTTTTTTTCCTGGAGAGTCCAGAGGACCTGGAGTACATGCAGTACTATGTCCTGTTACAGGTGATACAGAAAACAGGTGATTTCTACTGTGATAAAACTAACTGAGAGGTGGCCAGGAGTTCACCATTCACTATCTCACTTTCTACATTCAATCTGCATGAGATGTGTAAGAAGAAAAATGTTTAGCACCAAAGCAGGTACAGAAGCTCAGATACAACTGTCATCCAGTTACTACTGGCTACTCTGGCTTGCAGATTGTCCAAATGACATGGCAAAAGAAAATGTGTTGCTGAGGCTTTGGGCAAAAAGAACAGTGGTGAAGGAAAACAGTTCTGGTGAAGGAAAGATATTAAAAGATAATTGTGAGTGCCTGACACTAACAAAACTGAAGACTGTGGAGCAAGAAAATCATACCTGTCCACCAGGCTGGCTGCCTCCTGAAGAAGATGAACCCTGTAAATGTTATATTCTCATTTAAAATTTTTTCTTTAAATGTGGACATGTGCGTTTGATTACGATGTATTGTCTTTTACTCTTTTGACTACATTTGAAAAGATCTATCTGATTAAGAACCAAATTTTATCTATGGAAAAATTAATGAGGATAAAATAAACCACACAGTAGTCTGGAAAGCTAGGTATTACCAATCTGGCAATACTTTCTGGAAATATGCACACTGGGGGGGAAAAAACCTCACAACAACAACAATGAAAAATTTCCCACCTGCCCACCATACTGGCTGCTTCCAGATGACGATGAGTCCTGAAAAAAAATTAAAATTGCTTACTTTTTGTTTTAAAAATACAAATTAAGACTAAATATTTATTACTTTATTTTTTCCTGATGTTAGAACATCAGTTAAGGCAGGAATTGTATTTTGACCACTCTGCTTACCCTTGGACTTTTACACAGAGTTATATAATGAAGAACAAATCAATCTTGTTCACAGATAAAAAATTGCTGTAATACAATATGAGGCCTCAAACTTTTGTATAATAGATACTTCAGGATAAAAATACAAAGATTTAGTATTTACCTGTCCACTTGAGTAGCCACCACCTTGAGAAGATGATCCCTATAAAAAGCAGATGCAATTTATTTTTGTTTAAAATGGCTTCTGGAAAACAAGATTGATGTTGAAGGCACACAATTATTAATTTTTTTTCCAAACAGCTTGCCATTTGATTTCACAAGACATGATGCCAGATGTCATGGGAAATTCTAGAAAATGAATGGCTTAGTACACTTTACTCATTTGGATAATTTTTAAATAGTAGAGCCATTTTGGAAGGGAACTGCATATAATGAATAAAATAGATGCTTACATGTCCACCTGACTGGCTGCCTCCTGGGGAATAAAAATCCTGGAAAAATGTATTGAAATTACATGAAAAAACCAAAAACCAAAACCTGGAAAGATCAGGGTGGAAGCTAAACATTCCTTGCTTCTCCACCTTCCTTAATTTTCTCTTGTTCAAGATCAAAAATTAAAATTTGTCTTTCTGTATGAAACAGTACATGCCCCTTTATGACTATTGATAATTCCTTGAAGATATTTTTTGGGATACAACAAAGAATTATTATATCTCCAACAAAATAATTGCTCAGTCTGTGTTACTTAATCCTCATTAGAATAAATACATTGGGTGCCATGTAAAAATGGCAGAAAAATGGAAGGCCTCACATAGCACAACAAAGCAAAGGGTTGCACTTGAAATAAATGTTGCAAAAATCATGGTATTGAAACCCTTTGCAGTCAAGCAGTGATTTAAAAAGCACAGGAACAGGAACAAGTAAATTGTGGTATCACATTTGTGATGTGAGTTTGATATTTAAGAGCACATCTCAGCATTGGTTGGGATTCCTAGCAGTACTTCGACTCTTTAGCCATATCCTCATTCCCTCTGTGCTTGAGGGCTTTCTATCCCACACTGGAAGCTGCCACACCAGTTTCCACACAGGATTTAGGTGTCTGGCAGTTGCCAAGCCCTGGGGCAGACACCCTGGCAATACACAAGGAAGGAGTGCTTACCCGTTCACTCTGGCGGCTACCAGATGGTGAGGAGGAATCCTAAAAAACATTAGAATTGAATTATTGCAATGGCAAATATTACTAATTTTTTCTGAGCAAGGGTGGAAGGCAAAGAAAAATACTGTTTGTTGGGAAGGTTAAAGATGTAGGCTGTAGGATAAGTTCTTTCTTTGCTCATTTCTGGTGAATGGCATTTCTTATTTTGAAAGGTGAATTCTGACATAGTGATATAAAGGAATGAGATCACATCTCAATCTATTTTATTTCCTCCAGAATGTTACAGAGCAAAGCATCAGCTGTCTTGGTCCTTGTAGGACCTCAGTGGTACACACCAATGTTTTTATACCTTACTTTCTTTCAGAGGGCTTTTCGGGCCCTCTGTAGTATCATATTTTAGCTTTCTTGAATATCTGTAAGAAGATTTTGGTACAGAAACTACATTGAAACTAATGATCCAGTATACCTGTGGCTGAAGAGCACAGCTGAATTTATAATTATTTGCAGAGAACAATTTCCTACTAACCAGGACCAGACCTACTGAAAATCCATTTAAAGTACAATCAATTACTCAAGGCAGAGACTTTAAACTTGGAAAGTTTTATAAACAGCTTCAGCAGAATTAATAGGAAATATACTTTAGTCAAGAGAAAAGGCATCTTCTTAAACAGAAGAGCAGGCAGTTTTCACCACACTGCACAAAACCAGACCATTCCTGTGTAATATATAGATGAAGGAACTTGAATCTTATATGTCTGGCATTTGAAAAACACAAATGAAGTGTAGTGTGAATTGGGGACGGAAGGAGAGGGAAGTAGTCACATAATGTCACATAATAATATTGCGTTTTGATGGAAACTGTGAAATAAAGAGTTTCCTTTGTAATTGCTACTTCTAATAACCAATTAAAAATGTATGATTGTTACAAGTCAGAACTGTTGTAACTGCAATTTTAATTTGCAAAGCCCTTATCATACATAGCACAATAGCATAACATAATTTAGGTCTACATTTTCCATTCTCTGTAGAAAAAATACAATTTCAAAGGAGTTACTGTAGAAAATGATGAACAACAGATGATTAGAATATAATGTGAAGGAGTTCTTGGCAATAAGATTATGAGTTAAAGTAAAGGTCCATGTAAGCAAATAGATACTTTAAGAGGTATGAATTAAGATATTGATATAGTTGAGAAGAAATACTTACACTCTCAGCAGTTTCACTGCCTCCTATGGAAGGTGAATCCTGTAAAATAATGAAAAAAACATTTACTTTCATATAAAAAGGACTCTCACATGTTCTAAATTGTGGAGAATATAAAATAAAAGAATAAAAATAACAAACCGCTTAGAATCTTCAATTTTACCTAAACCAGCGAAGGTGCAAGAAAAGAAAAAAATATGTAACTTCACCTGTTGCTTAAACAGAAGAGGTTGGGAAAAAACCCTCCTTGCAAACATACATTTTTATAAGGAAAAATTTTAGATAAAGTTCATTTACAAAGTTAATAATTCTTTATATTCAGAAATCCCATTATCTATACTTTCAACAGATTCTGCATGAGTAAAGTATGTAAAGTAAATGCACAAAATGTTTTCCTTTTGAATGAGCTAATGCATAAACAATAAAGTAGTTAAAGCATTGGACAGTCACAGGGCACAGTTAGTGGGCTTCCCTCCATTTGAGTTGTAAAAGGGTGAATTAAAGAGGACCAAAAGATAAAATGGCATTTCTGTGGTCGTGGTCACTTAAAAATAACTGAAACCTAGAACCCAGTGCACATAAGAACCAACAGAGCAAGCTTAAGCTTTTGGTGTAGGAGACAAATAACAATTACCTGGCCATAAGACTCAGCACCACTATATGCGGAAGATCCACCCTGTTCAGAAAACATAAACAATTCTCATACTGCAAACAGCATAATTCTCATATTTGGAACAGACTTTTTTTTTGGACACTAACTGTAGGGATCTCCTTCTGGGAAGATTTAAAAAGTATGATTATTTACCTAGTTATAAGAATGGCTCTTGAGCAACTCATAGTTATGTTCCTGTAAAACACTAATTTAACATATTTTTTAACTCAAATCCTAATTCCAATTCTGAAGAGACCTTCATCTTGCAGGTGACTCAAAGCTAGAATTCTTGACAAGAACAAACCTTAAAGGTTGGAGGCACCCCACTTTTTACTCCCTTATAAACTTCTGACTAAGTATATACAAATTCATTCACTCTTCAAAGAAAAAACCCACTTTCATTAAAATATAGCAAGAGCCAAAATACAGAATATAACTGTATATTTGACCCAGGGTACTTCTCCCCAGCACCCTCTATACAAAAAGAAAAAAAGAGTATTTACCTGACCATAGGATTCACTGCTACCATCATAAACAGAAGACCCTCCCTGTAAAGAAAACAAAAAAAATTGATTAACTTGATTCCCTCAAGAAAGTGTTTTCTGTCTTTCAAACACAGAACAGGAATGAAAATAAAAGAACTCTGTTATCTCTACAAACAAGAAAGAACACCTACCTGTCCGTAAGATCCACCAGGATAGTAGGAAGACCCTCCCTGCACAGAAAACACAGAAATTTACTGGTTTGTAGTTGAATTGTTCTCTCAAGGAATACTTTTACACTGCTCCTGTGAAGACACAGTGACTCGAATATTTACCTGGTTACCGGAGTAAGAACTGTGGGAAGAACCTGGGCCACCCTAGAAGAAAAACACAAACCAGTTATTTTCTCACAGACAAGAGTTTAAATACCTGCCTATCCAGTTCTCTCTTTACACTCTTTCTCTCAATTTTGAGCTAATTTCTATGTACCTGAATACAGGTACTGTTAAACTAGAAGAAATCTTCTGGTGGCAACTTTCTTAGCCCTGCTGAAATTTGTATTCTGCAAGGAAGCTGCAGATACCAGTCTGTACTGTTCTCTGGCAAACTTCACACCTCTAGCTTACATCAGGGCTAAGTATTCCGCTCTGAGGGACAACAGTCAAGTCTCTAATTATGGCATATCATAGCACCCACAATACTGGGAGTGATGGAGCCAGGAGGATGGGAGTCTGTGTTATCCTGGTAAGGGAGGAAGAACTACTACCTGTCCATAGGATCCTCCGGGATAGAAGAAAGGCCCTTCCTGTGCAGAAGACAGAATGGATTACTGGTTTATATTTGGCTACTCCTTCAAGGGAAGGTTTTGGATGGAGCTTCTGAATAGGGCATTTTATCTGAATGTTTACCTGGTTACCAGAATATGTGCTGTGTGGATAACCTGGGGCTCCCTGAAATGAAAACACAGACTCTCTATTTTCTTGTAAACAGGATGGTGTAAATACCAATGTACCCAACTCTCACTCTAGGGCAATACTGTTAAACCAGAAGGAACTTTTTATCACTGATTTTCTTATTTGGATGAAAGATTCTTCCATGAAAGTTGTAAATACAATTTAGTCTTTTCCTCTGACAGATTTCATGTTGCAAGTTACAAACAGTTGATTCAATTCTTGGGTGTTATATTTCACAACAGCCACTACACAGGGAACATAAGAATAAATATAAAAGAACTCTGTTATCTCTACAAAGAACACCTACCTGTCCGTAGGATCCACCAGGATAGTAGGAAGACCCTCCCTGCACAGAAAACACAGAAATTTACTGGTTTGTAGTTGAATTGTTCTCTCAAGGAATACTTTTACACTGCTCCTGTGAAGACACAGTGACTCGAATATTTACCTGGTTACCGGAGTAAGAACTGTGGGAAGAACCTGGGCCGCCCTAGAAGAAAAACACAAACCAGTTATTTTCTCACAGGCAAGAGTTTAAATACCTGCCTATCCAGTTCTCTCTTTACACTCTTTCTCTCAATTTTGAGCTAATTTCTATGTACCTGAATACAGGTACTGTTAAACTAGAATAAGTCTTCTGGTGGCAACTTTCTTAGCCCTGCTGAAATTTGTATTCTGCAAGGAAGCTGCAGATACCAGTCTGTACTGTTCTCTGGCAAACTTCACACCTCTAGCTTACATCAGGGCTAAGTATTCTGCTCTAAGGGACAACAGTCAAGTCTCTAATTATGGCATGTCATAGCACCCACAACACTGGGAGTGATGGAGCCAGGAGGATGGGAGTCTGTGTTATCCTGGTAAGGGAGGAAGAACTACTACCTGTCCATAGGATCCTCCGGGATAGAAGAAAGGCCCTCCCTGTGCAGAAGACAGAATGGATTACTGGTTTATATTTGGCTACTCCTTCAAGGGAAGGTTTTGGATGGAGCTTCTGAATAGGGCATTTTATCTGAATGTTTACCTGGTTACCAGAATATGTGCTGTATGAAGAACCTGGGGCTCCCTGAAATGAAAACATAGACTCGCTATTTTCTCGCAAGCAGACATTTACATAAGTGAGTCCATTCTGAATTTCTGTTCTTTCAAATAAATCTTTTGAGGACAACATTACCGCAAACATTAAAAGAGAATGCTGGGGAGGGGGTTGTTAGAGATCAGGAAAACTTTAGCAGGTTTCTGATTTTTTCTCTTCAGGTTAAAAGATCTGAAAGTAGTAGTAGTAACGTTTAATTTTACTCTTTCTAATCACAGAATCTAATGTCATACCTTGCAGACTCTGTTGTTATAGATGATCATGATCTTGATGGTCTTTTTAAAAATGCCAGAACACTGAACTTCCAAAGTGTAAATAGTGTTTAGGAGAGCTCACCACTTATGAGAGAAGACTATTTACCAGTCCATAGCATCCACTATTACTGTCACATCCCCTTCATATACAGAACAGGGAAAGTATTATTCTATGGTTAGACTGCTTCCTCAGAGCAGTAGACTAAGGTCTTGCCTTTAGATGAAACTTAGAGAAAAAGCAGAATAATTGCAGTGTGAGACATTTGGGGATCCAGGATCCACACAAGAAAAACCATTTTTCTTTGAAAAAACTTTTTGCAGGAATTTTCCTCCTGTGCTGAAGAATCTTCAAGGAAGTAGATAACTCTTTTATGTAAGATTTATGAATGGTGGTTTATTTGTACATGTACATCTACCTATAGCTTGCTTTTTTATTCAGAAGAATGTACCTACCTATCACAGCTAATCTATTTGCATGTTAATCTAAGGCACTGTAGCTGCCACATGTAGAGGGCCCTGGACAGAAAATGAAGATAGCTCTGTTTTTTAATTCAGTCTATTCCTCGCAAAGATTGCTGGATTTTACTGTTGGGTGAAAGCAAAGATCAAGTCTATTGCTACCTAGTTCATCATAAATTAATTTGATCAGCTGATAAAATTCCAAACTGGAAAACAATCTCTTGTGAATCAAAGTGGACACATCTGCACTGAGACTTGATTTTCTACTGTATCCAATTTTGATGTCTTCTTTTCTTCATGTTGAAAATTTTTGTTGATAGCAACTAAATACATACACTCTCCTCTCCCCAACCAAGATGTGGTGGATTTCTGTTACAAACTAAGTCCTTTCTTGCAACAATTAAAGCATGTAAAGAAAAGGGCTTATTAGAATGAAAACTTGCATAAAGATGTCCACCTTTTTCCTTGTAAATGGATTTGTTGATATAGATTTACAGTCACATGATAAATAAAGGTTTTTCCTCAATTAACTTTCAACAGTAGTTATTTTAAATAGACTAGTTGATATTTTAAAACATACAGGTCATGATTACTGCTCAGCCTCGATTAGGTAAAAGAGGTGGTATTCTACCTTACCAAAATGACTGCTCTTTATTTTAAGTTAATGAATTTAAGTCCAGAAAGCAGTAATTTCTTTATACTGTTAGTTTGTTTAAATAGCATGGGGGGTTTTTAATAGAAAGAATAATCCGCAAAATAATTCCCATTGAAACTGAAAACTAAAAAAAAAAATATTACACCATTCAAATGGTTTTATGTAAATACAGTTTCTGTAAAAGGTTCACAATAAGTATTCTGGTAGAAGAAAGGTGACTTTAAAATCCAAGTTCATCTGTCTTTGCCAGGTGAAGCCAGAAGCCTGGTAAAACTACTCTATAATGTCCAGGTAAGCACATTCCTTGGCCTTTTTCCCAGCACAGGGGCATTGCCTAAGAGAAAAGTTTATCCAGTGCAAGTGACAATGAAATTGCAGTGATTGTCTTTATGGGAAAGAACAGTTTAAATGTTGATTTAAGAAACTAAATTTTGAAACATTTACAGATTTTGATGTTTTAGTCACAGTATTTTATTGCACCAGTTAGAAAGACAAGGAAGCTAACCTGGATGCAATTAAATTGATTAAATTAAATTCTGTGGTTACTATAAGGGATAATGACTGTTTTTTGAAAGTAATGAATAATTAGCACATAACAGTCAAGTGACAGAGCACCTGGATCACCAAGCACAGGTACAGGAAGTTAGTGGCTGAATAGTAACTACGCAGCTCAAGTAAAGTGGAATTCATTCTTCCGTTTCATTGTATGTGGTTTACCCATACTAAGGAAATGAACATTAATGTTTAGTGTTAACCAAGTGTCCATATTTACTAGGTGATTAATTCAAGATACTCCATTATGTAGATCAAAGTATAAACTCAGAAAAATAATTACCTGTCTATGACCACTGCTTCCATCAGGACAAATGCAACCACCCTATAAATTTTTAAAAAAGGAAATAATCATTGCTTTGTGGAAATTTAAAATAAAATCTTATTTCAGATGTGAAACAGTTTAGGGGAAGAAAGTCTGTGGGATTACAGAGTAGCTGTGACCTTTCCTACACCTAGAACAAATGAGTTTAGCTCTGAATAGTTAACATTTGCTTTGAAAGTTGGACTGATAGTACATCACTTGGTGCTGTGTCACAGGGACAGATGCTCAGCAAGACAGAAGTATCAAGGAGTCCAAGAGTGCAGAGAATCACCATTGTGTTCTCACCAATAAAACATACATGGAATTGAAACAGTGTTGAAAAGTGACTTCAGAGAGCCATTTTTGATAAATTTAATCTGAACAGTCACTTCATTTACAATTTAATGCATAACACGACCAATCCTCCATGCAAAGCTACTTCACTTAAACTCTGATTCCTGAATTTAATTAGTTTAATTACCAGGAAACAATCTGGACAAGACTAGTTAAAAATAAAAACAATCCTGACCTGATTACTTGATCCACCACTGGTTGCAATAAATGATCCACCCTTTGAAGAAAACAATTACATTTTATCAAAGCATTTTATCAGAACCTGAATTATAAAATTATGTAGTGAGAAGTAAGGTAACAAACTCTTTCTACTACTTTCCTGCATGAACAAGCACTATCTGTTGAATTATTGTGAAAACATAGATTTGGATGAAATCTAATTAATGATACCATACACAGGGAATGGGTATCAGGAAAACTAATTAAGAAAACAGTTATTTTCTGGAGCTTATAAATCTGACTGCACTATTGAATTAGATTGCAAATTCTCTTGAGACGGAGACTATGCTAGTGTTAAATCTGCATAATGTGGCGTGTAGCAGGACTCAGGATCTCTGGGAAGCTGATGCTTTAATAAAAACAGAATCAAGTGCCACTCTGGATCATTTAAATTTCACAAAATTCTCTAACATATACACTGCTGCATCAGTACACGATGCTATAGAATATCAAAGTTGGTTCTACTTTTGTAACAGAAGTACCTAATCCCTAAGATGTACCTACTTACCAAATTTAAAATGAAAAAATTACATATCTGGCCATTACCATCACTAGAGCAGGACTGTTTTTTAAAAAAAGATTCTAAACCTACTTTTGGTGTTTTGCAAATGACTTTTACAAAATGTTACATAAAGAAACACCTGTGATGGTTACCTGCTTAATGGAGAGAAGGAACAGAACAGACTCTCTATTCTGGGCCCATTTACAACTGCGCAAAGTTATAACGTTATAGGGAAAACTCTGCCAGTTAAAAATAGCATCCTTCAGCACGGAAGGATTAGTGGAACCTAACTTTCAGAATGAATTATAATTTATCAGAAAGCTCCTTGCAATGATATCATGCACCTGACACTAGTTATTACCTGGACATCAGCGTGGCTGCTGTTTGAAGGAGAAGATACATTCTGCGAAGAAATAAAAAATGACACATTTTTTCAGTAAGGGTAATATAGTGCTACTGGGAGAGAACTACCTAACCCTAAACAGAATTCTCTGTTGTGGAAACTAGATCCTTCTTTTTGTAGGTAATACAGCAAGGAGCTATAACACCAGCAGTAGTTCAGAAAAGGTGACAAGAATGGTTTACCTGTACATCATAGGCTCTTCTGCTTAAAACATGTGATGTATCCTGTAAAAAACAGGAATATTTGGTATCAGGAGATTAAAACTCTCTGAACTGTGATAGACCTTCTTTTTTTCCCCCTGTATTTATTTAAAACAGCTCCAGACCCTTTATTATATACATTGAGTAGGAATGGCTTATTATAAAATAAAAGGTTATTTGCACATAATTTTTATAGGCTACTGCTGAGTCTGACTTGAAGCTATACAATACACATACCCATATCCCCTCCACAACCTGCTGAGCACAGTAAATTACCAAACATTATACTTTCTAACTTCATTATTCTATCTCATTTCAGCTAAAATTTTAGCTGTCCTTTGTATGATACTCATTTAATTTCAACTTTAGCTTGGACCAACTCTGTGCTTAATGAAGAGCAGGAATTTAGGCTGCCCTCTACTTCAAAGCATGATTTGCATGTCTTTTTTCATATATATATATTTCCTTTAAAGAAATTCGTGCAAAGAGCAAAGTAATTTTATTTTAATTTTTCCTTAAGTAGAAGAATATTAATTAGGGCAACATATTTACAGAAAAATTAGGCATAATTAGGACAAGTTAGGGCTAAAAAAGAAAAGAAAAAAAAGTTACTTACTCGGGCAACAAGAACTTTCTTCTTTGCACAACCAGAACCCTGTAAAGGAGCCAAAAGATTGTTACTAATTTAGAGGTGGAGTTATCTGCACTAAGTACTTTAGCAAAAATCTACTACTTGTCAAGGTCACATATTCTGGAAAAAGAAAATGTCTGGAGATTTCATTTTAATATCATTAAGGGTCTTAAAAAGCATATTCTTTGTTTGTTTTCCCTTTATTGCTCTTCGGTCAGAAGTTCCTGCCCAGGGGAGTCTCCCTCAGCTAAACCATTATGGGCTGAAGAACAATATGTATAATTATTTTTTTAGAATTCCCTATCCTTTGTTATAACCAAGGGAATACTAGCATCTTCTGTGAACCAAGGAGGAAGTGATGAGGCCCCTAAACAAGGCTTGCTGCTGAAGGATTTTTTCTTCAGAACCTTTTTCATTCAAGGTAAATACAAGCGAAAACAAAGGATGTTTCAGAAGACCTCCTTACTTCCTAGAATACATGTTTGATGCAGTACTAAAGTATTAGAGAGAAAAATGGGGAAAACAATGAAGCAGTACAGTGTATGGCTGACAACTGAAGAGAAGGCAAGTAGCTGATGACAGGAGGTTACTCTAGATGGCAGTAAAACAAAAGGAGGCTGTGACATGAAAAAAACTTTTCTATGAACTGAAAGAAGTAGGGAAAAATGTAATTTATTTACACAACAATATATTTGCTTGGTCACAATCTATCCATGTTAATCACAGTTTCTTCTTGTAGGACAGATGGAAAGTCTTGACAGAGAGATTATTACCAGGGACAAATGTTACTTTACAACAACAGCATAAAAGAGAGTTTAAATTTGAACAAGTGAAAAAAGCTTGAGGTAAGGTATATGCCTTATGTACATAGGTAGTTAATTCCAAAAAAACTATCCAGTCAAAGTGCATATACTATGAAGAAAATATATCAGTATATATTCTGTATTGTGCAGTTTTTAATAATTGTGCAATAACCTTAAGTACAGAGAAAAAATTAACTTTTTGAAGGGTATTATAAAACAATCATACACTACAGTTAGAGGTCCATGGGTCTAATATAGAAGTGTTCAGTTACTAACACTGTCATTAATAATAAGAACTTGAATATTACAGAAGAAACAAAGTACTTACCCGACTCTTGGCACTGTAAGTAGTGTCATTCTGGAAAAGAATAAATTATTCTCTTTTTAAAGAATTATTTAAATACAGTAAGCTTACAGAAAACTAATTTTTTCCGAAACAGCATGCAGACATATTCCACTTGTTGCTCACACTCTCCACAGCCTTGTCTAAATTAGTTTGAAATCCTATAATTACAATCTGAAAAACATTTTAATAGCAGATTTAGATTGGTAGAAATGCAACATGAAAAGCAGTGGAATATCCATCATTTCTTCTTTCATTTATTGTATGTATTTAAATATTTTCTTTTAGATTTTCTTTTTTTTTGAAAATTACTGTAAAATGTATCCTTACCTTTTGGGGAAAATCTTCTGTTACTGCAAAGTCATTGAAATACTTTTATCCATATTTCATTTTATCAAGTTAAATGCATTTAAAAACACAAATCATATCTGTAACTACATATTTGACAACTTTCACCAAGAAAAATGCAGGTGCTGAAACAGCTATTAGTGTGGGAACTCAGCATTCTTTCTGGATCATTCTGCTCAAAAGACTGCATCTAGCAGTGCAATATTTTATCATCTACACAAAAAAGGTTGTGATGAAAATATATTAGAGAAAACATACTCACATCATCACAAGCATTGGGATTATCGTCTGAGGAATATTGTGAATCCTAGAAAAACAGCAGATACCAGTTATTTTCTCACAAAATGGATTGTTAACTTGATACTGTACTCTGCAAGACAGAAGAGATGCTTATGCAAAGGAAAAGCTGAGTTAAATTAAATTGAGATCTATGTAAGAAAAAAAAAAAGGAGCCAAATCCATAGCTGCAATAGTTGCTTACAGGGAATGTTCCAATCTTCAGTAAAGAAAAAAACACCCAAACCCAACCCAAAACACGAAGAGCAGAGAAAAAAATTATGTTTTATTACATCTTTGAGAAAGATGATGCAGGGACTACAAATAATGTGTATCTAGGAGAAAGAAAGAACTAGTTACCTGATTATCATAATAGGTGTCTGAGGAGGATGATCCACCCTTTAAAACAAACAAATGAACCAAATTCAGGATGTAGAAACCTGATTTTGAGCAGACACTAAAGCTTATATGAAGTGATGTGTGAGTAGGAAAATAGAATATTACTTACTTGGCCACCACCATAGTTTTGTGAGTAGGATCCATCCTACAAAAAAAATATAAACTCTACTTCAGAAGAAACTGTGATTTTCTTCAGGGACTGTAAAGCTGGAATAAACAATTGCCTAGGATTTCTTTGAACAAATACAACTTTTAAGATATCTGGATAACTTATCAAATATAAGAATTCTTACCAAGAGAAAATCAAGGTCTACCTACCTGGTTGCTACCATAATTTTGTGAGGATGATGATCCACTCTGCTAAGAAACAACAACAAAAAATAATCAGAATTAATATTACAATATTGCAGACTGGATACCGATCAGCCATCATGGAAGTAAAAGCTCATAAAATCCCAGTGGGAGACAATAATAATCTAGTACTTACTTGGCTACCACCATAGTTTTGTGAGTATGATCCATCCTGTGAAAACAAAACAGCAAGAGTTAAAATTCTGGAGAGCTTAATTTTATCAGAATGCACAGAGCTGTCTTAGGGTGCTGAGTTCTTTCTATGTAAGTAGAATTTCAGCGCTGATAAAAAGTATGTTTGCAGGGAATGAGTTACAGGCTGGAGATGGGGAGACCTTCCAAGTGTCTATACCCTCATAAGCAAGAAAACTACACACTGAATTAGAAATGCTTAAAAACTTTTTACCAATGGATAATAAAGAGCTGCCTACCTGACTACCCTGTGATCCACCCTGTGATCCACCCTGTAAATCAGACAAAAAATTATGCATGCTTTAGACACTTGCTGTTTGTATATGGAATATTTTTAATGAAAGTTATGATACTTGCTTAGGAAGAGTAAGAAGAAAAAGTAGATATGCAATATGGATATAATTTCTAATGTAGTAAGCACAGATTGCCAATAGTGCAAAGGTAAATACTAGATGAGAAATATACAAAAAATTCCCCTGGTAGCATTAGTACACAGAAAGCTGTGAGCTGTGAAGTACCAGGGCCTCCAGGAATAGGTTTTAGATAAAACACTCAGTATGTTTCAACGTGCCCCCTTTAGAAGAGGAATGTAACTTCTCCGAGTGTAATCAGAAGAGATATTTTTGGAAGTATTAGTGACAAAAGTGCATAATAAGAACAGTGAAATCCTGAGCTATTGAAGTGAGTGGGATATTTGCCATTCACTAAAATCGAACCGAGGCTTCAGTTAGAAGAGGCAAAGGAAAATGAAATAAAAAGTATTATCTTTCAATGTTCTAGCAGATTTTAGAACAAAATTTAAGCACCTTCTTTAGTCTTACAAAGGAAAAGTTCCTCTTTACAAAGAAAAAATTGAAATGCTATTATAAAATAATTACATACCTATTTAATATATTATTCTTTCAAGTTACAGTAATGTATTAAATACAATGCATTGTATATACTATACCAAATTATATTAATATATTTTAGCAACATCTATGTTGTTTGTATATTTATAAATATAGTATATATTTATAAAGCACAGTACTTATTGATACAATTAATTTATCTCATTTTTCTATTCCTTGTGAAAACTCAGTAAGAATCAAAAGAAGTATTAAAAATAAAAACGAAATCATCTATTGCTGTTTTCTTACTAATTTTCAGCATGACAGAGATTACTTCTTTAAACATAGCTAACACCCTTTAGGATAGTGGTTTTTACAGTTCCAACATTGAACTTGGAACAAATACACATGTAGCTGTTCCCTGCACAAACTGAATGAATTCTTAAGCCAGTTTGTTCCAGGAACCCCAAGTGGCAGTCCTAAAGTATTTTCTGACTTTTGATAGGAAAAGTCCACAGAGAGGCTGGTGAGCTCCAGCCCTGATTTAAGTTGTGCCACTTCAGCAACTCTGCAGCAGAGTTCTTCTTTCCAGAATCTGGCCTTAATGTCCTATAAAGTGAGACATTTCACAGGCATAATCCTAGGAAAAAGGGGGGAAAAAGACTCCAAAGCCCCTGTGATACTCCTTTGTACACGAAGATGGTGAGTTCTCATCTCCTAACTGTTAAGATTATATAGATTTGTGCTACATGAATCTGAAGTTGTTACTAATTGAGTTAGTGGCAAAACTAATTTTGGATGCATCTTAAAATAAGAGGAGAAAGAGCATTTACCTGGTGGCAGGGATTGCTATCATATGAAACACCCTGTTAAAAAAAATAAACAAAAAGGTAAATGCCCAAATCTTCATTTTCCTTTTGAAGTAATTTGCTTTCTTAAAATTTCTTCTGTGAGAATTAATGTAACAAAACTCACCACAAAACTTTACAGAGGGTGAGTTTAATTTTATTTAATCTTTTAAATGTGTGGCTTTACCCTCTGTCACTCCCATACCCACATACACACAAGCATCAAGACACATGCATGCAGGTGATCAAAGGAGGAGTTCTTGTGAGCTACAAGGAAAGAAAGATAGGCTGGCAATGGATGTCTCTCTGTATCACCCTAGTTCCTCTTGGTTGGTAAAGACTAACTGTTGGTGGTTTTTTTTTGGAATCAACTATTACTGATGGGTGACTATCCATCTCTGTTGTGACCATTTATCTCAGTGTGACCATCTATCACTTGCTAGATTCACCCACTATAGATGTTAGGCAAGGCTGCTGCTCAATGCATTTTATTTCCTGTTTTGGGTATATTTTGGCTACAGCCAGTCTTCCTGTTGGGATAACAGGATGAGAAACAGTACACAGAAGGAGTTCTACCCTGGCTGTCACACTCCCATTATCACAGCACAGATAAGTCAAGAGCTGTGTCACCTGTGACACAGCTTAGGTGAAAGGAACACATTTTTCAGTGTTTATCAGTTTGATTGCTGTTATCTGTGTCCATGTTGTATTGCTTCTTATGATGCTTTTCCATGCATTTCCATTCGTGCTTAACTTACACCAATCCTAATATTTCTGCTAAATACTTGTGAAAATGTCTGTATTTATACTTCTCTTTAATTCTTGTTGCTTTCCTCAATATATTTATTTAACCACAGGTTTACTACATGACCTCATTCACGATCCGTTCACCTGGGATCTCATCACTGAAGACATTGTCTTTACTGTTGTAGGCATACACAAGTAGAAATGGAACCAGGATGAAAACTACTAATTTAATTCCTGTTCCACAGGAGCCACTCTCTAATCCTACTTTTTTCCTACAGAAAATAAATGGAGCAACATCCAAAAATTCCCAAGGAAATATTTTATCTGTTTATTAAGTAGAGAAGATTATTCATTTTTCTGTCTTCAGTGTGTAACTCTAAATGGGAGAAGCATTTCATACCAGTTACAGTGACAAACAATATCAGCCTTCCTTGATCTCTGTGCTAGATAAATCCATGTAACAATGAAAACAATTGATTGAAACTAACAAATATTATAGAACTTGTTAAAAATGTGTCACTGCTGGAAAGAAAGCTGGGTCTAGTTTTCAAATAGTTTGGAGAAAAAGGAACTTACTTGTCCACAACCACTGCTACCACCTGAAGAAGATCCACCCTGCTTGGGAAAAAAAGAAGAGCAGCCTGTAACCCACATATTCATTTTCATTCATTTTCTCTATTTCAAATACAGAAACAAATTTTCAAGTGCTTTAGATGCTCGACTGCTTAAAAGGTTGGGCATCTACATCCCTCTACATCCAACTGTGAATTTTCCGGTAAAGTATTTGTGTATGTTGGAGACTATAGTGCATCAGAAAGCTAACATGCACTCCTTTCTACATGGGAAACAGCTGTTTCAGTGTGCCTATAATTGCCAGACTCACAAAAAAAATTCACAACTCTTATTTTTAATGGCTACTTACTATATTATTTTAAGAAACAAACCACAGAATTCTCAATACATATATGGGAACAGCACATACATGCTGTATAATGACTGGTGACAGACTGACACTTACCTGTCCATAGGAACTACCAGCTTGAGGCTGGTAGCCCTGCAGGAAAGGCAAGAAGTAATTTGCAAACAGAGCTACGTAGTCTCTTAGCAAAGATGTAGCAGAATCATAGAATACCATAGAATACCAGAGAGAAAAGCCCAGTTCCAGTAAAAGTTCCTCTGTTCTTTTTTCTTTTTTCTTTCATGGTATTTCAGTGGTACAAACCAAAATCAAGGATGACTCAGCAACACCAAGAAGGAAAAAGACCCACTCACACTCCAAAGTCCATTTACAAGAAAGGCTCCTACAGAAAAACTCAGTGCATTTCAGCAAAAAAGCCTCACCTGGCCATAGGACTGGCTGCCTTGGGAACCCTTTAAAAAAAGAGAAGGTATTTATCACCTGGACAAAGAGGCTTCTTTAAAAAGCATAATGTTTTTGACAATACAGCTGCACGTGGGGTTCTCAAAAAGCACAAAGGAGACAGAACAGTATGCTGGCAGCTGGGCTACAGATTGTCCTACTCTCAGGAAAAGCCATGACTCAAATTGAGGTGCAGACTGCCAAGGGAAATATCAGTCTCCAAATCTGCCAGTCTTTCTGGTCACAGAGATATCAGTGAAGAACTTCCTACCAAATATTTAGTTTGCTTACCTGGCCATAGGAACTGCTGCTGCCCGAGAAACTTGGCCCACCCTAAGACAAGGACATAATTTGGTTA